GTTAAGACAGTGGGATATATCCACTGTGCCACCGCTCCCCTTATGGGAGCATGGAACTACTATTATCTGCAGGATTGGTTCCCAACATCCTTGAGATTTAGCAAGAAGGGGGAGGTTCGAGTCCAGTAGAACCTTAAAGACTAGGAAGATATTGGGGGCATAACCTGACAAAGGGAGCTTTGACTCTCAAAAACTTACACCCCCAAAATCTAGTTGGTCTCTAAGATGCCACTGGACTTGAATCCAGCTGCCCGCTGAAGCTAACAGGAATGTCGCAGCTTCAGGTGGGGTAGCCATGTTGGTCTGAAGCAGCAGAACAAAGTTTGGGTCCAGTGGCACCTTTAAGACCAACGAAGCTTTATATAAGCTTGTGTGTGCATGCACACTTCTTCAGATACAATGGAATGGGAATTACCAGTCCACAGAGGGTGAGCAGTAAATTAGCATACAGCAGAACGAAGATGTTTAATAGAAGAAAGGAAAGATCAGTCCGTACCTGCGCCGTTTGCTGTGTAAGGCTGACAGGTGTTCCGTTCCATGCGGCTTCATGTGGTGCCCCTCCATGAAGACATTCAGGTGGATAGCAGTGTCCCAGGCAAACTCTGCCTTTTGGATGGGAAGCCTCTCTTGTCCCGTTAAGACATGGCCCCCATCCAAGTCTTTGCCTTTGTGGCTCCTGAAGTGCCGCCTTCTTTAAACTGGATTGATCAGAGACCAACATGATGTACATGCACAATAAAGCTTAAACCCAGAATGAAAATGTATTGGTTTTAAAGGTGCCATTAGTCTTAAACTTCGTCCTGTTGTTTCAGATCAGCATGGCTTACCCACCTGATTCTATCTTCATGATATGTGAAAGTGCCACTGAGGCACAGTGCAATAATTACAAGATGTTGGCGGATCCTCATAGGTTGCCACACTCTGTTTTTTTATGAGACGTAGTCAAAAAAAGAAGCTGATACTTGGGTCGTCTAAATTTCTGTGGCTGCAAAGGGGGGGGGTGATTTTCACTGATTCAACCCTCCCCAGTCTAAATACTCTCTCCTCCATAATGATGCTCATGGGGGATAGGGGATTCCCAGCAATATCTTAGGAGTGAATCAGAGGTCACCCCCCCCCCATTGCACCCACAGAAATCTATGCTGGACCCAAGCTTTTGGTTAGTCTTTAAGGTGTCACAAGACATTACAGCATTGGGAAAAGTGTAGAAAAGGGCAACTGAAATGATTAAAGGGATGGAACACCTTAAGGTTAAAGAGTTAGGGCTCTTTAGCTTGGAGAAACGACTGAGGGGTGACATGACAGAGGTTTACGAAATTATGCATGGGATAGAGCAGGTCGAGAAAGAAGTACTTTTCTCCCTTTCTCACAATAGAAGAACTCGTGGGCACTCAGTGAAATTAATGCACAAGTGGCTTAGAACAGGTAAAAGGAAGTACTTTTTCATCCAAAGAGTAATTAACACATGGAATTCACTGCCACAGGAAGTGGTGGCAGCTACAAGCATAGCTTCAAGAGGGGATTGGATAAACAGAGCAGAAGTCCATCAGTGGCTATTAGCCACAAGGTATCGATGGAACACTACGTCTGGGGCAGTGATGTTCTGTATTCCTGGTGCTTGAGGGGCAACAGTGGGAGGGCTTCTGGAGTTGCCCCAGTGGTGGACCTCCTGATCACCTGGCACCTGTGACAGAGTGTTGGACTGGGTAGGCCATTGGTCTGATCCAACATGGCTTCACTTATGTTCTTATGACTTTATTTTGTCTGCAGCAGCCTAATGGAGGTAATTCCTCTCTGGAAAAATACAACCCTCTGAATTACAGGTGCTACAGGCACCCCCTCCTCCCTTCTGTGTTATGCTGTGTCAGGGAACGGGAGGGGAAAGTGTGAGCTTTGTTCTTTAGGTGCCTGATCATCAAATATCTTAGTGCCTTGGCACTCATTTGGCCAAAACATTTTTTAAACATCAGGTAATTTTGGACACAATACTAGCCAAAAACCACCTTCAAGATTTCCTCTAAGACCCACACTGTGTTCAAGCGGCCTTACTCCTGAGTGTGCATCGAGTTGCGATCTGACAGTGCAATCCATTACACACAGTACATCCAATAGACTGCTGAAAATGCATAATATCACCTAACTATGGAGAGTTACTCCAGTATGAAGTCAGTGGAGTCCACTTGAATTAACTGGATATGACTGCAGTATATTTATTCATTTACTAGGAAAAAGGCCCGTTGTGGAAATAAATGCAACAGCCTCTAGAAAGAGGCTCTGGGCGGGTGCTCCGGTCTTGGACACTCAGTGTCAATTTGCTGTGACAACCTCAGCAGGGTATAATGACACTGAGTCCACCATTTTCTCCAGAGGAACTGATCTCTGCTACCTAAAGAACAGTTGCAATTTTGAGTGATCTCCAGCCCTCACCTGGAGATTGGCAACAATGGTTCCCCAGAGGGAATGGTTGGTTTGGTGGGTGGAGTCTATGGCTTTGTACCTGTCCGAGGTCCCACGCCTCCTGAAACCTCACCCTCTCCAGGCTCCATCCCTCACATCTCCAGGAGTTTCCCACCTGGAGTTGGCAACCCTATCTCCTTCCCAGCCAATCATCAACCTACCTTTATTTCCCCCTCACTCTTCAGCTTTCCACCCCCCACACACCTGCAGCCTCTCCCGTGCTCTGAAGCCCTGACTGCTACGTCACATTGGCTGTCATACGGGGGCCACCTCAGCAGCATATAAGGATACAGAGCCCACCATTTTCTCCAGGGGAACTGATCTCTGCCATCTAGAAAGCAGTTGTAATTCTGAGTGATCTCCAGCCCTCACCTGGAGATTGGACAGATTTTACCTCAGAACAGCAAAGTGTTTAGAATGTTAGAGGCAAAAGCCAATCAAGTCGCATATGCAAACAACCTCTGCGTTCCAAGGCAAAGGCCAATGAGGCTGCATATGCAAATAACCTCTGTATTCTGACTGGCTATGGGGGGGAGGGAGATTCTGAGTGACACACCAGGGCACCAACCAATTCCAGAGCGTGTGGAATGTTCTAGAGAAGTGCCACCACCATTCGGCTTTTATATATAAGGGAGATTAGTCACATTTGTATCCCACCCTCCCCACAATGCAGGCTCAGGGCGGCTCACAATCAGTACATAAATGCAATTAAAACAACATAAAATCATCTAAAACAATTCCATTTTCATTAGTACAGTTTCATAAAGTGCTAAAGATGTTATTTATTCAAGATGGCGTACTTTCAGAGTTTACTTTCAAAGTTTAGATGTCGTTCTGCTCAAGATCTTCCTAGGGCTCAAGCTAGGTGTCAAAAACCAAAGGCCAGGGCTCTATAATGGTGGCGGCTCCCAAGCTGAAAGCCTGGCGGAACTGTAAAGAGATCCTGCAGGGCCCTGATCTCCTCCAGGAGCTTGTTCCACCAGGATGGGGTTGACACTGAAAAAGCCCTGGCCCTAGTAGTAGCAAGCCTGGCATCCTTGGTGCCTGGGAGGGTCAGTCGATTTTGAGACTGTAGTGCTCTCTGGATATGGGGAAAGGCAGTCCCACAGGTAAGTTGGACCCTGGCCATATAGGGCTTTAAAGGTGAGAACCAGGACCTTGAAGCAGATTCGGTATGCTATTGGCAGCCAGTGCAGTGTCCTCAGCACAGGCTTAATACGGTCCCACCTGGGGAGACCCATCAGAAGCCTGGCTGCGGCATTCTGCACTAGCTGTACCTTCCGAAACTGCGACAAGGGCAGCCCCATGTAGAGAGCGTTACAGTAGTCTAATCTCGAGGTGACCATCGCATGGATCACTGTTGCCAGGCCGGCACGGTCGAGGAAGGGAACCAACTGCCTAATCAGCCGAAGATGGTAAAAGGCCGACCTGGCAGTGGCCGCTACCTGGGCCTCCATTGTTAAGGAGGCACCCAGGAGCACTCCCAGACTCCAGTAAAGCAGTATGTCGTCTAGGGCTATCAAAGGGTTGGTGGAAAATGTGTTTCCCTTTAATAAGTGGCTTAATGAGATGTTATTGACCTCCTTGCCATTAAAAGCTTCCCCTGCCCACTTCCTCACATTAAGCCTCTATTAAAAGGACTGTAAAGACTACTGGAGAATTGCACATCCAAGGTGATGGACTCACATTCTAGCTGTAGCTGAAGACAGATCAAGATGGGTCCCGGTGTCTGTCTGTAGGAGCAGAAAAGAGCAAGAATCCAGTAGCACCTTAAAGGCTGATAAAATTTGTGGCAGGGTAGGAGCTTTTGTGCGTCACTGCTCTGAAGAAGAGAAGAAATTGGATTTATACCCCGCCCTTCACTTGGAGTCTCAGAGCGGTTTACAAACTCCTTTCCCTCCCCCTCCCCACAACAGACACCCTGTGAGGTGGGTGGGGCTGAGAGAACTCTGACACAAACTGCTCTTTTTCAAGGACAGCTGTGCCAGAGCTTGTGACTGACCCAAGGTCACATCAGCAGGTACAAATGAAGGAGTGGGGAATCAAACGCGGTTCTCCCAGATTAGAGTCCACGCACTTAACCACTACACCAAACTGGCTCTTCCCATCTCCCAGCATGAGATGGACCGAATCCATCAGGGAAGCCACGACCCACAATTGACGCCACTTAAGACACAGACACGGGGACACAGGACATGTTCTCCAGGTCTGTTGGCAACCCTACCACGGTCTGTTTTCTTAAGTTCTGCCGGATCGGAACAAACTCCCACACCACCCACCAGCACTTAGCCTCCAACCGTGACCGTCCAGATGCGCCCCACCCCGTCATGCAACTTGGCAAAGGCCACCACGTGAGACTTCGGGGTACACTGCCTCGGACCATGGAGGCTCCGCTTCAGGTCCAGCCGTGCATTGCACCGCCGCCAGCCGCCGCCCCCTGCTCTCCCGCCCTCCCTTTCCGCGCTCCCAGCGCCGTCACTTCCCGGCCCGGCCGCAGGAGGCAGGCGCGCCGCTTGCTTGGGAGGAGCCGCGGAGGACGTTGCCCGCCCCCTGCCACTGCCGCTGGCTGGAAGATGGCGAACGTGCAGCTGGAGTTCCAGGCCAGCGCCGGCGAGGCGGACCCGCAAAGCCGCCCTGTGCTCGTGCTGGGCCAGCTGCAGAACCTGCACCGCCTGCACTGGAGCCAGCTGCAAGGCAAGCTGCAGCCCAGGGTCTCCGAGGAGGTAAAGCTGGGCTCCCCGCGCCTGCCTGCCCTGGGGGAGGAGGAGGAAGGGGCAACTATGGGGACGCCGCCAGCTAGCCAGCCACTCGAGAGAGCTCCCGCTGCCCTCCTTTTGTAGCTCCCCGGCGGCTGAGAGGCTCCGGATGGTGGATCCGCGTTGCATCGGGGCCCCGATCTCTTCTTCTTTCCCCAGGCCTGGGCTGGAGCAGGGCGCACCATGCGCCCGCCCGCCCTGGCTGGCTGACAGTGCAATCCTGTGTGGAGTTACCCGTTGATATCAGCAGATGTTGCCGTAACTCTGCCTAGGATTGCCGGGATCGGTTTCAGTCAGTGGGCTTGCTCTGGAGTAATTCTACATTTAGGGTTGCGTTCTTCGTTTCCTTTTTCTCCTGTTCCGCAACACAGTTTCCTCTCATTGTTACTCTTAGGGGCATAAATCCAGCGGCCAAGGGCAACGCTTTATCTTATAGGGGCCAAATTCTCCCACCCCGTCGAAGCTGATTCGATGTAGTTTGCAGGGTGTGTGTGTGGAAGGGGGTTTAAATCATCTGGGGAAGGGGTTCTGCATTCTGATGCTGCTTCATTAATTTTTACCGCAGTCTTAGTCCTAGTACATTGCTTATTAGATAGGATTACCAGATGTTCTCTTTTTAGAGGACATGACCTCTGGGGGGGGGATCCATCCAATTTTGGGCTCTTTTAAAAAAGACTGATGAAAATGTCCTCTTTTGGGGGTGGAAGGTTAGGAATATTCCTCAGTAGCAATCCTCACCGTTTAAATAGTAGGGGTGTTTAAAATGAGATTCGTCATAGTGATCACTTGTTTGAAACAGTCATTTCCCTATGAGGAAAGGTTAAGGCGCTTAGGGCTCTTTAGCTTGGAGAAACGACGACTGAGGGGTGACATGATTGAGGTTTATAAGATTATGCATGGGAAAGAGCAGGTAGAGAAAAAGGTACTATTCTCCCTTTCTCACAATACAAGAACTCGTGGGCACTCCATGAAACTGCAGAGCGGTCGGGTTAGAACGGATAAAAGGGAGTACTTCTTCACCCAAAGAGTGATTAACACTTGGAATTCACTGCCGCTGGCAGCTACAAGCATGGACGGCTTCAAAAGGGAATTAGATAAGCATATGGAGCAGAGGTCCATCGGTGGCTATTAGCCACAAGGTATAGATAGGGACTCTGGGGCAAGTGATGCTGTGTCATCTTGGTGCTTGGGGGGTCAACAGTGGGAGGGCTTCTAATGTCCTGGCCCCACTCTTGATGGCACTGGTATTTCTGGCCACTGTGCAATACAGAGTGTTGGACTGGATGGGCCTTTGGCCTGATCCAACATTGGCATCTCTTATGTTCTCTTATGTTCTTATGTCCTCTTTTTCACTCTTCAAAATGTGGTAACCCTATTATTAGATGTCGGATCATATTGACTGTATTGACTTCCACCGTTCTGAGTCTCAGTGAGGAAGGCGGAATATAAATATAGTAAATAAAATAAAAGGAAATAACTGTGTTCTGAGATTGCAAGTGCGTAGATAATTATTATAAAGGTACTTGTTATTTTAAACAAGTTGTTGTTTCCTTTGTCAGCAGGACAGATATCTCAACAAACCAGATCTTTCAAAGCTGTTTTTTAAAAACCACCACACAATAGCCCAGCAGCAACACCAGTTTTACAAGGCTGCAAATGCATGGCTGTGTTTGGCTGTGGGGACCCCTCTCCACCTCCACCTCCCAGGAGAAGGCAGGAAAAGGCTGCTTGAGATAGGGTCTGGACTCTTCTTTCTTTATGCTTCCACCGCCCCCCATATTTTTATTCAGTGCCCGCTGATTGCACCCAAGGCTCCTACCGCCCACCTGGATCGTTCCAGAGCCCTCCCTAGGGGGCGGTATGGCCCACTTTGTGAACCGTTGTTCTAGAGCTTCGATGCCTGTCTGATCTCAGAAGGTGGGGGCCTCCAAAGGTGACCGTAACGGTCTTCAGGGATGTTGGTCTCAAACCATACAGAGGTGTCGAACTCATTTGTTAAAAGGGCCAGATCTGAGATAAAGGACACTTTGTCAGGCCGGGCCATGCGTGCTGTAAAATGTAATGCCAGGTACCAGAGATATACATTTTATAAAGGACACAGGCAAACCCAATTAACGATATTATTTTTTACTCAACATACAAACATGGTTAAAACATTAACGCTCTTACAGTCTCTCCCTGATGCCCGCCCTCCCACTTCCACCGCCCATTACTCGTTAGCATTGGGACAGTATAGACAGGGACACAATGCACAGCCTCTGTCATTTGGCAATAAAGGTAATGGCCAGTTGCTTGCGGGCCAGATAAGAGCCCTGGACTGGCTTTGAAGGTCAAGACCAACACCTTGAATTGTGCCAGGAAACAAACTGGGAGCCAGTGTAGGTGGCCCAAGACGGGAGTGATATTGGTCCCTACAACCTAACTCCAGTCATTAGTCTGGCTGCAGCATTCTGTACCAGTTGAAGCTTCCAAACATTTTTCAAGGGCAGCCCCATGTAAAGGACATTGCAGTAATCTAATCTGGATGTGACCAGGGCACGTGCTACAGTGAGCAGATCTTTTCTGTCCAGTTGAAGCTGGAAAAAGGCATTCTCGCCCACAGGTGCCGTCTGCTTATCCAACAGTAAGCCTGAGTTTGTAAGCCGTTCTGAGACTCCAAGTGAAGGGCGGGGTATAAATCCAATCTCCCTCCTCCTCCTCTTCTCCCCATTAAAGCCCCTGCCTTACCCAAACCCCTCCCTCCTGCGGCTCCACCCCCAAAATCTCCAGGTATTTCCCAGCCTGGAGCTGGCAACCCTATCCAGCAGAATCAACAGAGGGACACTCCTTCTGTCCATTTCCCAACGCAAGTCATCCATCGGGGCAGGGGTGGTCAGACTTGCTCAACGGAAGAGCCACACGGAATAAACGTCAGATATCTGAGAGCCGCAAGACAGAAACAAATATCACACTCACGTTTTTATTTTTTAAAATACGCACATTTGCTTTTGATTAACATTAAATGAGATTGCCAAAAGTGAAAACAAAAGGGGTAAAAATAGATTTTGATAATACTATGTATTTGCTAATGATATTGATTTATCTAAGGAAGAGAAAAAGAGAGAGATGGAAAGAAAGAATGAAAGAGGTGCAAAGAAACAGAAAGAGAGAGAGAAACAAAGCAAATAGATGGGAGGGAGGGAGAAAAAGTATGCCTCCCCTTTACTTCCCCAGCTGCCCTTGCCAAGAGCCGCACAATATGTGTGAAAGAGCCACAGTTTGACCACCCCTGCACTAGGGCAACCAGGGTTGTTTCTGTCCAAGCCTGAAACTAGATTGGAAGGGATCTAAACAATTTGGCTCATCTGGGAAGGCTAGGAGTTGTCCAGCCACCACACGTTCAGTCACCTAAGAACTGAACATTTGAGACTGGTTGATAATTATTGAGATCTCCCTAGTCAAGCATAGGTTTCTTTAGAAGTGGATGCATCACAGCCAATGCTCCCTATAAGCTGTGGAGTCTTGTGAGCAAAAACACTTTATGAGCAACTGGCATTAAAGTTGTGAGCGAGCAATTTGGCTACTGCATAAATTAATTTGTTCTGGAGCCATCCTTCCGGAGCGAAGACAAAAATGTGTGAGCCGGAGGCTAAAAAACTGTGAGCTAGCTCACACTGACTCAGCTTAGAGGGAACATGGATCACAACCTGCTTCAAGGCTGAACATTTCCAGTTTGGTGTAGTGGTTAAGTGCGTGGACTCTAATCTGGGAGAGCTGGGTTTGATTCCCCACTCCTCCACTTGCACCTGCTGATGTGACCTTGGGTCAGTCACAAGCTCTGGCACAGATGTCCTTGAAAAAGAGCAGTTTGTGTCAGAGTTCTCTCAGCCCCACCCACCTCACAGGGTGTCTGTTGTGGGGAAGGGAAGGGAAAGGAGTTTGTAAGCTGCTCTGAGACTCCAAGTGAAGGGCGGGGTATAAATCCAATCTCTTCTTCTTCTCTCTCTTCTCTATCTTCTTCTTCTTCGCTGTCTTATATAAGCATTAACTACTTGAACCCAGTCAGTCAGCCCCCCCAGCGTAAAAGATTTAAGTAACCTGTTAGGGCGAGGGTAGTACAAGCGGGTGGTGGAAGAAGAAGAGGAAGAGATTGGATTTATACCCTGCCCTTCACTACCTGAAGGAGTTTCAGAGTGTCTTACAATCTCCTTTCCCTTCCCCTCCCCACAACAGACACCCTGTGAGGTAGGTGGGGCTGAGAGAGCTCTTTTGAAAACTGCTCGTGAGAGGACAGCTCTGAAAGGACTTGTAACTGACCCAAGGTCACACCAGCAGCTGCATGTGGAGGAGTGGGGAATCAAACCCGGTTCTCCCAGATCAGAGTCCGTGCTCCTAACCACTACACCCAACTGGCTCTCAAGCCTCAAACTTCCTGTCTACATCCTCAGACTGAATAAACTGAAAAGTATTCCACGCAATCGGACAAGTTGGCACCCTTGTCGTGCATGACGCATAGCATCATTTGTTCTTTTTAAGTGGATTTGTATTGGGCCTTTCTGCACATCTTAGCAGTTCTATTTGCACATTATTCTTCAGGCAAAAAATTCTGATGCAATCCAGGCAAGAAGTGGCAGGGATTGTTTAGGATTGCCACATCTTGCATGGTACATGATGCAGAGGGAGAGGAGGCAGCTGCGGCTCCTTCTGTCAGTTGGCTTCTTAGCTGTGTTTTGCCCCCTTCTCCAGCTGTGCCAGGCAGTTGTGCCGTGCCGCAGTTACCAAAGGAGGGTGAAGGAGAAGTTGCCCTTTTTCCTGCTGTGCTGGGAGATGTCAAGGAACTTGTCTGGGGTCAGAGGTGGCCCCCTTCCTCTCATCTGGGGTTGTGAGATACCCAGTTTGGTGTAACAGTGGATGCGCTGGGTTTGGTTCCGTGAGACCCGAGTTCAGATCTCCACTCTGCTACGGTGTTCTTCGGAGGACCTTGGGCCTGTCATTCTCTCTCAGCCTAATTCACTTTACAGGCTAGTTTGGAGGATAAAGCTGGGAAGAGAGGCCTGTGTATAAGAGGCCCTTCCAGTCCGACACTCTGTCACACAGTGGCCAAAAATACCAGGTGCCATCAGGAGGTCCAGCAGTGGGGCCAGGACACTAGAAGCCCTCCCACTGTTGTTCCCTCCCCCCCCAAGCACCAAGAATACAGAGCATCCCTTGCCCCAGACTGAGAGTCCCTTTCTATACCTTGTGGCTAATAGCCACTGATGGACCTCTGCTCCATATGTTTATCCAATTCCCTCTTGAAGCCGTCTATGCTTGTAGCTGCCACCACCTTCTGTGGCAGTGAATTCCATGTGTTAATCACTCTTTGGATGAAGAAGTACTTCCTTTTATCTGTTCTAACCCGACTCCTTTTATCTGTTCCTTTTATCTGTTCTAACCCTTTTACCTGTTCTAACCTGACTGCTCAGCAATTTCATTGAGTGTCCACAGGTTCTTGTATTGTGAGAAAGGGAGAAAAGTACTTCTTTCTCGACCTGCTGTATACCATCCTGAGTTTCCTAGAGAAAGGATGGGATGAAACTGTGTTAGAGGGGGCTAGGATCAAGCTTCTGAGAACCCCACCTTCCCGGAATAGTTTGGAAAGTTGGGCAAAAGCTCCTCCACATATTGCTGACATCACACCATGCCGCTGAATGTCTTCCTGTATTTCGGTTACCCCTTCCTAAATCTTAATTAAAGTTGATCCATCTGTACAGTGGGAAACATATTTATTTATTTACTAACTTCATTTATACCCCCTTTTTTCTCCCTAATGGGGACCCAAAGAAGCTTATATTGTTCTCCTCTTCCTCCATTTTATCCTCACAACAACTCTGTGAGGTAGGTCGGGCTGAGAGTATGTGACTGGCCCAAGGTCACCCAGTGAGATTCCTGGGCACAGTGTGGATTTGAACCTGAGTCTCCCAGATCCTAGGCCACCATCCTAGCTGCTAACACTAACCAGTGTGGTATAGAAGAAGAAGAAGAGATTAGATTTATACCCTGTCCTTCACTACCCAGAAAAGTCTGAGAGGCTTACAATCCCTTCCCCTTCCTACAACAGACACCCTGTGAGGTAGGTGGGGCTGAGAGAGCTCTCTCAAGGACTGCCCTTGAGAGAACAGACTGCCCTTGAGAGAGCCAGTTTGGTGTAGTGGTTAAGTGTGCGGACTCTAATCTGGGAGAACCGGGTTTGATTCCCCACTCCTCCACTTGCACCTGCTGATGTGACCTTGGGTCAGTCACAAGCTCTGGCACAGCTGTCCTTGAAAAAGAGCAGTTTGTGTCAGAGTTCCCTCAGCCCCACCCACCTCACAGGGTGTCTGTTGTGGGGAGGGGAAGGGAAAGGAGTTTGTAAGCCACTCTGAGACTCCAAGTGAAGGGCGGGGTATAAATCCAATCTCCCTCCTCCTCCAGTTCTGAAAGAACTTATGACTGACTCAAGGTCACACCAGCAGCTGGTTAAAGTGTCAGATTAGGATCTGGGGAACCTAATCTGCCATGGAAGCTTGCTGGGTGACCTTGGGCTAGTCACTTACCTCACAGGGCTGTTGTGAGGATAAAATGAAGAAGAGGAGAACAATCTAAGCCACTTTTGGTCCCTGTTGGAGAGAACAGCAGTATATAAATAAAAAAATACCACTGGTGCCACAAGGTTCCTGTCTGCTTTTTCTTGTGTGATGGACACCATAAAATCAACATCAATAATATACTAGAAATTACAATTGAAATTAGATTTTTTAAAGGTGATGGTAAAAGCAGAAGGCTCAGTCAGTTGATACCTACGGAGAGTCACCGGGGGGGGGGGGGTTGCTTCTGGTAATGTGAACAACCTCTCAGGTTCTTTGCTGTTCCAGCTATAGCCTTGTGAAACTGAGCTGTTTCCACCCACCCCAGTGGTCCCTCAGCCACCTTACAGTAATATATTAGAGTGCATCACTGCTGAAGCTATTAGAATGGAAGTGGCTTTGGCCCCAAAAGAGGGGGCCATTTTGTGACTGGATTTAATGAGCTGCGGTGGCTCAAGTGGTTAAGACGCTGAACTGCAGGCTGTGGAAGGTTGGTAGTTCAGCAGTTCGAGACCCGAGTTGCCGCATGATGGAGTGAGCTCCCATCTCTAGTTCCAGCTCCTGCCAACCTAGCAGTTCGAAAGTGCAAGTAGATAAACAGGTACCGCTTCAGTGGGAAGGTAACAGCGTTCCGTGTGCCTCGGTGTTTAGTCATGCCGGCCACATGACCACGGAAACGTCTTTGGACAGCGCTGGCTCTTCGGCTTTGAAACGGAGATGAGCACCGGAACCCTAGAGTCGAATTCGACTGGCTTTCGAGCAAGGGAACCTTTACCTTTTTAAATATCATACACAATTTGCTCATTTTACAGGACTAGGGAGGAGGCCAGGAGATCAGTGCAGCCGATTGGAGAACATATTTCCTCATAGCTAAGCAGTCCCTGTGGAACATTAGGCTGTATTTTTTTAAAGTCACAGCTTCTCAAGCCACAGGAATTCTGTCCAGCCAGTCAGTTGTGGAGATGGGATGAGTGTGCTGGGTCTCGGTAGCATCCTGTTGCTGCTGCTGTCCTCAGTCTGGGACAGTCACAGTGTAAATCCATCCCAGCAGTCATTTCCCACGTTCTACCTAAACAAACATGGGCTGACCACTCGATGGGTGCGTTCAGACGGGGCATTTACAACGGTATAGGTGCCAGTTGGAATCGGTGTACTTACCAATGGTCACACGTAGAACATCTACCTTCCGTCCCTAGCCGTTGCAAAGAGCTTTAAACCATTGTATTCTGCCACTAGGTCCCTAAGTGGTGGTATCCTGAGTGCAACGGTTGTAACCACTTTACCCCCTGTCTGATCGCTCTCCACCGTTGTAGAGCCACTTCCGTTCGGAAGCCCAAGGCTTCCGATTTTCGCTCACCATTTTTTTTTTTGTTAGGTCGGCAATATGCGCTTGGGCGAAGCTTCGCCCTGGCGTTTGTTTAAAAAAAGAAAAAGAAAGAAAACGTCCTTAGTTTAAGGGCATACAGCGATGAGCTCCGCAGACAGGAGGTAAGTGTGATCGCGTTTCAGCCGGCATAAACTGCACTGGTTGGAACCGGTGCAGTTTATGCAGGCTGAAACGCCCCGTCTGAACAGGGAACCGCAGACAAGCCCAACTCTTCAAAGGGTACTTCAGTTGGCGAGGGGCTGTGGTTCAATGATTTTTCCCCCACAGTCAAGTTACAGTTGACTTATGGTGACCCCATAGGGTTTTCAAGGCGAGTGACATTGACAGGTAAGGATGCCAGCCTCCAGGTGGGACCTGGAGATCCCCTGGAATTACAGCTCATCTCCAGACTACAGAGATCAGTTCCCCTGGAGAAAATGGATGCTTTGGAGGGTGGACTCTGTGGCGTTGTACCCCACTGAGGTTCTTCACCTCCCCAGGTTTCATCCCCAAATCTCCACGAGTTCCCCAACCTAGATTTGGCAAGCATACCCCCCCATCCCCTGCCGGTGGCCATACCTTGCAGTGTCTTCCCATGCTATCACTATTGCAGGTTTTTCAAGGATGGGCCTCTCCCTCTCTGGTCCAAGGTTTCTCTTTGTATCCAAGCAGTGCAGGTGTAGGAATGGCATTGCTGCAGTCCCCACGCTGCCAGGTAACAACAACAGTGCCATACCTAGAAACACCCCAAAATGCTGTATTTCCCATTCTGTTGGGAGTTCTTTTTTTAACCTTTTCCTCTCTTTCCTGTTCTCAGACATGGCAGGCCGCATTGAGCACCCTGAACCCCAACCCGACCGACAGCTGCCCCCTCTACCTGAACTACGCCACTGTAGCAGCTTTGCCTTCCCGGGTCAGCAGGCATAACAGCCCATCGGCTGCCCAGTTTCTCACACGGCTCATTCGCAACTGTCTCCCGGGAGGAGTGAACAGGTGCATTCTGGTAAGAACTGCTTGGAAAATGTCCTCTAAAAACATAAAGAGGCTTCGTGGGGTTTGGTGCTTGCCAGACAAGGCACAGATGGAGATGAACAGCAAAAGTTTGTTTAAAAGAAAGTAAAGTATTTAATAAGATAAATGTGATGTGTGGATAACTTAGATATATGAGGTGAATCCCAGTGAGTAACCATGTTGGTCTAAGCAATAGAACAAAGTTTGAGTCCAGTGGCACCTTTCAGAACCACCAAGTTTTATTCTGGATATGAGCTTTTTGTGTGCACATATCTGAGGAAGTGTGCCTGCACACGAAAACCTATACCCAGAATTAAACTTTGTTGGTCTTAAAGCTGCCACTGGACTCAAACTTAGATATATAAGGTAAAGCTGGCTCTCAAATCAAGTAAATAACCCCTGAGGGGAGATCTGATTCGTATTGACTTCAAGTCTAGCTTCATACAAACCCAAGAGCTAGAAACCTCCCTCCAAGAAGAAGTTTTCTTTATTAATTTGGTAGTGTAAGAAACGCGGCTTTATTCCTCTCCCCAGGCATCTGTTAATACTCTTGGCTTTCTGCTGCCATTTCAGATGGTCTGTGAGCGTGCGGAAGTCTTTGCCTCGGCTTGTGCAATAGCGAGGGCATTCCCACTGTTCACCCATCGTTCCAGCGCATCAAGACGTACGGAGAAGAAAACCGTAACTGTGGAGTTTTTCCTGGTTGGCCAAAACAATGGCCCAGTGGAGGTGGAGACACTTAAAGTAAGTAAAAGGAGTTCTCTCCATCCACTTGTGGCAAGTGCTTTATAGTTCAGCACTAAGCAGAGCTATGCCTTTCCAAGCCTACTGAAGTCAGTAGGTTTAGAAGGCCATAACTGCGCTTATGATTGCGCTGTTAAAGTAATTTGAGTTGGGTGTGAATGGTTGTTTTACATTGGGACGGATTTAAAGGATTTTCTAGGCATGTCTTATTTTTTCTTCTTCTGTTCGCGCTGGTATATAATTGTCCAGTTCTTATCATTTAATTGATTCAGATATTTTTCTTCTGCTTTCTCCCACATTGGGGACTCAAAAGTGTTTTATATTCCTGCACACATGTATCTAATCTGATCCAATCCAGTTATTGTTCCTTTCCCCCCCAAATAAAGTTTATTCATTTTTTGTTTACAACAAGATTATACAGGATAGGCGTGTATCTATAGTCTAATCTATATAGTCTAATCGACATTACATTTCTTACATTTCATACAATATGTCAATAATACACTTTGTGAATATTACCAAAGGTGAAGAGTGTTTATTACATCTGGTACTGTTTCCTTAATAGATAGATGTGCTAATAATGGGAGACCATATACATGTAATATCGTTGTGTTCACCTTTAGATTTATTTTGTATCAGAATGTCTGAGATTTTTTCCATTGCGTATAGGTACCATAGTTTTTTATAACAGAGGTTTACGTTCAGTTTACTTTTGGATTTCCATGTGGATACTATTGTAGTTTTGGCTGCAAATAGTAACAAGGTGTTTCTTTTCCTTCGTGTAATAGATAGAGCGTTCTCCGCTCTGAGATTTAGAAGTAATGCTTCCGAAGTTTTGTCTGTTTTGTGTTCAGTTATGTTCCTTATTTCCTCTAATACTTTGTCCCAAAAGGATGCTACTACATGGCATTCATACCAGCAGTGTATGTAATTGCCTACTTTTTTGCTATTTATTGTGGAGTTTTGTACCACTTGGACATTATTCTGAAAGTTCTCCATTTTTGTGTGATGATGGGAGATTTATTTTCAATTATTGTTACTTTGATCATTGTCATGAACCGGAGTACACAATCAGGTAAAACAAACTGGGCAGGTGGCTCTTTAAATATGCTGCACTATAACTGCTGCCAGATATTTCAGTAACTTGGTTTTCTACACCTCTTAATAACCAAGAAAGTTTCTAATCCAGGGAATCAAAGCCAGCTCTAAGTAATGGGAGAATTAAGTCTGATCTTAAACCTGAAAATACAGGACAGTCTAATACTATAAGGAGCTGCGGTGGCTCAAGTGGTTAAGATGCTGAACTGCAGACTGTGGAAGGTCGGTAGTTCAGCAGTTTGAGACCCAAGTGTGCCACATGATGGAGTGAGTTCCCGTCTCTAGTTCCAGCTCCTGCCAACCTAGCAGTTCGAAAGCAAGAAATTGCAAGTAGACAAATAGGTACCACTACAGTGGGAAGGTAACAGCGTTCCGTGCACCTTGGTGTTTAGTCATGGCGGCCATATGACCACAGAAATGTCTTCGGACAGCGCTGGCTCTTCGGCTTTGAAACGGAGATGAGCACCGCAACCCTAGAGTCGGATTTGACTGGCTTTTGAGCAAGGGAACCTTTACCTTTACCTTAATACTATATGGTCAGTATATTCAATCTGAACTGCAGGTACACAATCTGTCAGGAAATGGTATACCTTGGTATCTTCTCATTAAAACTGCAGGTGGCAGCACATTCAACTGTGTTAACATAAATGCCCTTCTATACCTTGGTATTGTCAGCAAAATAAAATATCTTGGCGTTTTAATCATAGGGGGAATACAGTCCAGTTGCAGTGGTTCCCAACCTTTTTGGTACGACCCACAAGTCTAAATTTATTTGACATGCTGAAAGCTTAAAAAACAAACAACCCCCCCCCCCAGCCCTAAAGACACCCCACCCACCCTCAGACTTCTTTATAGTCCTCCTTTCTCATTGATTGTGAAGGTGGATTACACTGTGTGACTCACACAGAGCTGAAAGAGAACAGTGATCACTTGTACTTAACTCTAAGACAGTAAATAAGCTGGTACTTAACTCTAAGACAGTGTTTTGCTCTCAGTATTTAAGTAGTCAGACACAAAAAAGTTTGTTAACGTCACTTACCATGTCCGTCAGTACTTCTGTGTAATAGCTTAGACGTCTCAGAATCTTTTCATCAGTTAGTGCAAGTTGAATGCACCAGGAAACCCCTCATATATTACAGAATTCCTCACGTAGGGTTAGACCCAAAGTTATTTCAACGTAGCAAGTTGATGGAAGTTCCACAGTCCTCTTTCTAGAAAATCCTTGCTTCTGCAGAAATCCTGGTCTGTATCCAAGTGAGCAAATACATGCTAGGAGATTGCATTTGATTGCACCGTCTCCTTTATTGGCCATTTTGAATCCCAACTGGGGAGAAAAGCAGCATACAGATCAATGCAAATACATACATTTGCTTAGATTTATTTTCTGGCATAGCGTGTGAGGCATAACAGTGGGAGGGCTTCTAATGTCCTGGCCCCACTGGTGGACCTCCTGATGGCACTGGTATTGCTGGCCACTGTGTGACACAGAGTGTTGGACTGGATGGGCTTTTGGCCTGATCCAACATTGGCATCTCTTATGTTCTTATGTTCCAACATTCTTACCTAGTTTCATTTTGATAATCACTCCAGTCTGAATGAAAGTGAACAACTTGCCAAAGGACCCTCCTCCCCACCCGAAAAGTTGCAAGGATCAAGAAGAGATTTCAAACTGTCGTCTCCTCTTTCCAATCTTGCTAATTTAATGATATTCCATACTGGTCCAAGCACTACGTATAGTGGGATGGTTGCCAAAAATGGCATTCCT